TGCCAATGTCCAGAAACGTGGAGTGCTCATTAAGTCCAAATCGTTCGTTCAAGAGGGAAAACAGTTTGAATAGCGAAGAAACAGAACTCTCCCCATACGCACCTATTCGAGAGCAGAGACGCCACCAGCATCAGCAGACGCAGCAGCAGCAGTTGTGATAAAGGCAAGGGGAGCAGCAGCAGAAAGCCAACGGCTTCAAACAAGCGGCAAGACTGGGGGGGGGAAATGAAAATGAAGCTGCTGGACCAGCAGGACACCGTGCGGAAAGTACATCAGTATACAGCTTACCTTCAACGCTGGTGGTAATTTTCATAATGGGCTTTTTCTGTAGCAGCTTCACCTCTGCAAGGAAACCATCACGCAATGCTGCAGGCATCCGTGGTACCGATGATCCCCAGTGCGCTACTTCTCCCCCTGCCGCTTCTGGTGAGAGCCCAGCTTCTGAGCCACCAGCAGCATCTGCTGACAAGTTAACTGCACGCGGCTTCGCCTCATTTGCGTCTGCTTCTGAGGCGGAAGAAGCGGATGCTGCACCCGGAGTAGCTGCCGCTTCCGCTGTGGCCGATTGGGAACCTGTCACCACCGCCTGTAGTCTCCCTGCTACTGCTTCTGCCGCTGCAGAGGACGGAGGCGAAAAGCATGTAGAGACATCAAGTGACATGTCAACTGTCTTCCCAGCGATTGTTTTCGCTGCAGCCGCAGCTGCTGCTACTGCTGCTACAGTTGCTACTGCGGCTACTGCCGCTGCTGCACGTCCGTGTGTCGCCGCAGCATCTGCCTCATGAAATAATGACGACGACTTTGAGACAACGCAACTACCGGAGGCAAGCTCTGAAGGCCTGAATGCCATATTTTTCCCGCATTCCACCTCAGGCGTGCGTCCAGCTCCCGCTGTTGCCGCTGCTGCTGCTGCTGCCGCCGTTGCTGCTACTGTTGTGTTCCCTTTTGCCTCACGTGCTTCAGCTTTTGGCCATTCAGCTGGTCCCAAAAGGGCATCGACTGCGCTGCGGTGCCGTTGCTTTTGCATGTTTTGCCGTACCGGCTGCTCAGCGCTCGCTGTGTTCCGTCCTGCTGCGTTACGCGGGACAGGCATTGCCGCTACCTTAGGCTGGCCTCAGTTGCTAGTGTTGTCTCTGAAAACCTGGAGATAGTCGGCTGTCGGTGCTGCGCGCTTTGCCCATGCTGCAGCATTTATTCAGTATTCATCATGCCACTCACTCTCGAGCTGTCGCGGCAGACGTTCGTGCGTCTGCGCAAGTGCACACGTCCGTCAAGCCGATCCGCATGACAGAAAGAAAACTGAGGGAAGATCATAACACTAGTAAAAAGGGGGAGCGATTACCGCTGCAGCTACTGGAGCATTATCGCCGTAGCTGTTCGAACATCTCAAATCCGCACTCGGTGAACAAAACAGTTCAGTGCCGCTTGATGACACCCAGGGACTCTAAAAAACTCAAAAATAGAAAAATAACTCAATTCTAGGACACAGCTTGATGCAACTGGGAAGCGTATAGTACAGGGAGACAACCATGGAGGCAAATTTGGGGCCCCTTTATGACCAGAAAGTCGGGTACTGTCCTGGAAATGGGGGGCCCCTGACCACTCCTGTCACTGCTGTTACTACAATTGCTAGTATTCAGTCAGCAGATTAGGGCAGTAGATAGTTTACGCGTCATTACACTGTATGTGCACTCCTGCGGTGTTTGTGCAAAAGCGTTGCACCATTGTTGGGAGTGGCACCAACTTTGGAGGTGGTCTGTCCCTTCTTAAGGCCTATGCGTGAACTCCATTTGTCCTCCAGTATAGTACAATTTTTTTCTGTGTAATCTGTCTTCGTGGCCCATTCGTTGCTATATTGTCCAAAAGAGACTGGCTACGTAGCCAGCTTCCTGGGGCAACAAGAGCTGTGGGGTGAGTTGCGTTGCTTTTCCAGCTTGCCTGGCCATCGAGTTCGAAATCGCGAGATGCCTTTGCTGACGAGTGCACGAAAAGCTTGATTGTGGTATCTGCTCCCCTTGAAAAGCGCCCCATATGAGGCGAGTTGGTGTCAAGGTGACCCCATTTGTTTGAGAGGGAGAGCGACGCGCAAACAGTTTGAATATGCAGCTTTCCATAGCAGCTGCGCAACTAGCATTAGCAGATGAAACGAAAGCAGTTGTAAACAAGGCGAGAGGAGTAGTAGCAGAAAACCGACAGTCCCACAGAAGCGGCGAACTTCAAAACTGCAGATCCAGAGAGACACTATGCAAGAAGGCATAAATCTGCAGCTTAGCGTCAACACTGGTGGGAATTTTCATAAAGGGCCTTTTTGCGGGTAGCATCACTTCAGCCAGGGAACTACCACGCAGTGCTGCATGCATCTGTGATAACCTCCAGTGCGCAGCTTCCCTTACCGCAGTGTGATAGACTGAGACTAGATATGACTGGATATCCTCCTTTTGTGGCAAAAGCAGTTTCGCGAGCTATATTCTACTAGGACTGGGGAAATGTACATTAGATAATGGGGTGATGCGAGCGTATGCTCTCACGAAGAAGAGAACACCTTTGCACGACAGAATGTATCGTCCAAAGCTAATAACCCTCAGGTAATAAACTTTCAAAATATATATGGGGATTAGCCAACGGAGGAAGGCAGTATTTTAAAGGCTTGCCTGATAGCCGTATGTCGCCTTTCCAGGCTGTAGAATCTAATGAGGCGGTAAGATCTTAATTTTAGTGGAAATTCAGACATCTCGCCGCGTTCTCAGGGAGGGCCGAAAGCTGTTTCTGCTGATTGACGTAGGCGGGTGCCAAGAGGGCTTTTGTGCCATCTAGCTTCAAACAGGAATCTGCAGGTTACTCTTCAAAGCCAGCGAAAAAAGGAAGAAAGCATGAAACATAGCCATGCATGGAGGGCAGTTTCGTGTTTACATGGATTTGCCGTAGCGTACGCATTCCTGCACTTCGCACGATCAAACTGTACAGCTTATTTTGATTTTTCTGGCGTATTGTGTACCGGTAGCATTTGGAAGCGCGATTGATTGCACATTGTTTCATAAGGGGAGACAACCGCCAGAGCAAACCGAAAGGCCCATGACTGGCACCCGTCATAAGGAAGGGCTAACACCGGCCCTCAAGGAGTGCTCAGTGCGTTCCTTTGGCCAGCTGCGAGATGCCTATACATGTTTCCTGATGATGTGGCCACTTAACGCCAGTAGTGTTTTGTTTTTTGCTCCATACCACGTTATCACACTGTTACTGCAGGAACGTAGACTTTAAATGTCATACATCTGCTTGCGATATTTAATCGGTGTTATGGTTCGTACTCGTCCTGAGCTGTTGGGGCAGTCCATCGAATTAATTTCGCTAACAAATGAGGCACTGCAAAGCGAGGACAGCCAGTAACAGCTCCTATGCCTCTGCATGCCTAACTCAAGGACATTTAAGGCGGAGCAATTCTGCGATGTGGCTAAACGTTCTGAGCCACCCCGATGCATGCAAGGAGCTTTACGTAGGCTGGTCTGCCTAGGCGATCTTTTGAATGTGCATCGTGACGACGAAAGGCTGGAATACCTAGAAAGCCTAAGCAGCGTACATCGGATACGTACCTACTCCATCTGCATAAGGGTGTGGTGAAAGAAATTTACTCTGAGTTCTAGCGTCTGGTTGTCCTGCGGCAGTAAATCTCTCCACGCCGAAGGTGACCCTCACTTAAGCAAAGCAGGGATGGCGGATTTACGATAGCACCGATAGAAGTCACATTATGGTGACTTTGAACGTGTTAATCCTCGCAATACTCCTCAACTACGTATGAAAATGCAAACCAAGAGATACCCACTATATGCCGCAGCACTTGCCTGGTGCCGTGTTACTCAGGATAACCGCTGAATCGTTAGAGGGATGTTGAACCGCCCATCCAAATGAAGATGGCAGAGAAGGTTGCTGAAGTATCCACACATACTTTAAACATAGACGCGAGCTTCCTTTTTGAAGGCAAGCTACAAATTGAAAGTTGCCTCGCAAAGACGGTCAGCAACAACCAATTTAGCGCGTTTTTAGAGCTCCGAAGTTATTTCTACACTGCATCCACAGCGGCAAATCGTTCTCTGCAGCGGATGTATATCATTTTCTGCTCCTCTATCCACTTGTGCCTTGCAAGTGAAGTTTTAAAGTGAATACGCGGCAAACGACACCTGTTGTCGCCGCCTGTGCGTTTTTAATTATCACATCAGCTCCTCCACAACCCTGCTTCGCTTTTGGCAAGGACTGCATTTGTTGCAAATCCGGTGAAATCTCAGTTGCAGCATACGCGCGCGATAGGGCGCCACACCACTGAGCACCGCGATTCACGAAGCCAATATTTGTCTCCAGAAACTCGCTGTGAGGTCCCAGAACAAAACACGAAAGACGATTTTGCAATTCTTGAGTAGCCGACGGCTGGATTAGCATAGCGTTTTCGCAGTCGTAGGAATGCGATGGTAGCGACGTCTTAAGTGTGCCGCGCGCAGCCTGATTGGTCGACACCGCAAACTGTCAAATAGTTTATGGCCAAGCAGCAGAAGAGGAGAAGTGCAGGAACTGCTTCTGGATATTACACGGATTTAGGGAATGCATTAGTTGCATCGCACTACCCAATTTGAAAAAACGAGTCACAAGTGCAAAACTTGCCTGGATGTGTCGATGGGTTCAAACGGCAGCTGAGGTGGCAAAGAATCCCGTGATTCATCATTAACACCTCGATTGCTGCTTCTCGATGGACAGTTTGACATGGCTGGCGGCGAGGGAGCAAGCTGGGAGTTAGACCGACGAATGCCACATATATTTGCATCAAACGCACTGTGCACTGTGAAGATTGTTACTTCGCGGTGAATGACGCGGATGTTTTTCAAGTGTACGAATGCCACATGCTGGCTGCAACAAAGCACACTACAGCTGACCAGTCATGAAGCAGCGAAGTTGTTCGGCCATAAAGGCAGTTGCGAAAGCCATGCTAGTTCCACGTGTTGCACTGCTAGAAGAACTTACTCGCAGCATCGAAGGTCGCTCTGCTCTTCTCTTTGAAAGGCAGTTTTGAACTCTTTTGAGCAACAAATTTGTCCTGGCAACCCGTTGCTCTCAATGTCATTTCCCACAAGAACGTCAAGACCCCAAAGGTCATACCGCAAACGCCTACTACCTATCACGCCTCCAACGCAAGAACCTACGTGGAGGCCGATGCGCATGTTGAGACCTGGGACTTGCATTTCTTCCCTCACCGCCTCCACATGCTCAAGCATTTGCCTCGCCATGCAGAGCACTCGGTATGCTTCGTCCGTCTCGTGGCGTTCACGCCACACCCTGCTGTCCCCTCCGTACGGGCCTTCGCATTGTGGACGCCACGGACAGCTTGCGAACGAATCTGTATGCCCTCGAGCAGTAGACGCCGCATGGAACGAGTCTAGAGCATCAGGATTTCTGCCTAGTGGCTCTTGCGAAGGAGTATCAATATGTAAACCAGACACCGCAACATAAGCGTCCCCAATGGTGCATAGCTTGTAAAGATTCAACGATATAGTGTCCCTGTCGAAACGCGTGAAAAGGCGCTGCGGACGCACAAACAGATCATATTCTAGATTTTGAAGCATATAGCTCATTTGATGTGGCCTGGCCAACTACAAATTTCCAAAATTATGCTTTTACTGAGGTGGACAAGGGCAGCCAGTTATTCTCTCACTTGTAGAAGGGAAAGCACCTGCTCCGCACTGACACTCCGGGACCATGCAGTGAACCCACATATATCTGCGAAAAGAAATGCCAGGGACTCGTGAGAGTAGGCGAGCCTTAGATTATCGTTCTGGAATTCAGCAAGCAGTTCTTTTGGGAGCATATCATTTAGCAACTCCAAGCTGCGCCGTTCCAGTGCGCTCGCCTCCTGATTCACAATGTAAGTCTGCCTGTCGTCATGCTCCTGCATTTAATAACCACGCAAAAAATGACAAACTATTACATGTTCCTCCTCCCGAGGTTGAACATGCTTCATACGACGGTGTTTAAAATCATGTGTTTCTATGACGTACTCGAACATAGCAAGACATTAGGTTGACAATGAGCAGTAGGCAAACTATTAAGATGCCGCGAAGGCGCTCGGTTGTGGGCTGAGACACGAGCATGGCGCTGCTGAAGCTTGCCTGCGTTCGTATTTAGGCACGTAATCACAAAAGTGTTATTGTCCGTGCCACAGTAGCAGGATTGGGGAGGCAAGCCATTCCCCACAGTATCCGCGGGCAGGCAACATAGCGACGCGCTGCAGCGAGTCGTGCACTGTGGCCTGTGCGCTACAATCGAATTACCGTAATTAAGAGTGCATCCACGAAAATAATGTGCTGGAACAACAGTCCAGTGTTGTGATGAATTAAAGTAAGGAAGAACGAGAGTTCCACGGTGTCAGCTGTATGCCACTCCGACGGCGCTTTCTTGCTGAGCAGCCATAACAGTGCGAACAGTCACAAGACGGCTAGCAAGGACAACTGCTACCTTTATTTTTTAGGATGACTCAATTCTCTGTAAGCTCGTTGTGTTGGAACGAACTAGAAGATGAGCATGGCTGGACCAACACACCCAGGTCTGTCCTATTTGTTCCCTCTAAATTGCTGACTCGGTAGCCCACACATACCCTGGGTCCCTTGCATTTGTCAGTACAAATGCCAATGCGGCAAAGATAAACAGAATGTTCAGCCAAAAAATCAGCCAGCGTATTCCCATCCACTGAAAACAAACCCTAAAGCAAGCAGATGTCTCACTGAGCTGGGCATAAGAGGAGTCGCCGCACGTATCTCAGCAATGTCCAAGAATATCGGCCACCCACAGGACCAGTACAAAACTGCTACTTGTGGTTCTGACTTACAGATAAACTTGCTCTTTGCCTGTAGTGTAGAAGCAACCACAGCAGTAACACTGCAGAAGCGACGAAAGATCTGGTGCTCCAAACCAGCATCCGTTGAGTTTGAAACAATTCACAAGTCGCAGGAGACAAGCGGTCCATTGACAAGAATGCGATGGATTCATGCACAAATGCTACCTGCAAAGACACGTAAGAAACCTGTCGGGAACGGTGCAGTTCGATATAATCCCATAAGGATTATGAGGTACGCTACCACTTCTTTTTCCTTACGACTGATAGGAGTAACTGCATTTCTGCAGACGATGCGCACTCAACTTACCAAAAATATAATTATTGCCTGCTCAATCGCGTTTATGTGAGCTTTGTTTGAGTAAAAGTTGTGCTTATAGCTGTCTTCCATGTCACTGGAGCAGAATCGAAGTCGGACCATGTCGGTACGCGCATTCAGTCCAAACGCTCTCGTTATTCTAGACGACAATTTAGGACGCTTTGCGTCGTCGTCCACTGCATTTGCAGACTTGCAAAGTGGCTCTTCCAAGTCAGTCCGGCCAGCTCCGCCTGTACCCGCCCTTCGCCAAGGGCTGTCTCCCGATGAAGCAGCACTCCTGCTGCGTTTCCTGCTTGCTTGCTGTTCGTGGCTGCCACTTCGTCGGCGCCGGCCACTAGAACCAAATTGTACTGGACTAAAGACAGATGCTACTGCGTTTGTGATGCGCTGCAGGCGCTCGGCGCCACGCCACCGTGAACAGCGCTCATTAGAGAGAGTAGAGCGCCTATCTAGAGGAATCGAAATTTTCGCAAGAGACCCACAATCTGTATTGCATCCGCAGTCATTCCGCTCTAAATTGTCTGCAGCAGGTAAGACGCTGCCTAAAGCTCCTAACGAGCTTGATGACTGCTGCCGGGGGCAGCACGGACGGTTCGCCGTCCCATCCACGGAAGACTCGCTGACAACACTAGTGCTTTGGCACCCCGCGCAATGAGACGGTTCATCCACAACTGGCACCCCTCGAGCTATTCTCCCTGCTGGACTGGAAGAGCTCGGCTTATCTGGAAGTCTCTGACATGCTGCTTCTGGATACGCACTGCTTGATCTCGTAATTGTAAGGCTGGGGTCCTGCCAACGGCGAGTTCTGTGCCGTCGTGGCCACTGAGCAACACCCTGGAAGTAGGATGAGACATCTTCGCTTTCTTGTGCAAACGACATGCTGCTGCTCCCATAGCGGCCGGCTGGTTCAGGAGCACGGCAGACGGCCTCTTCCGAAGGAGTGCGCAAGCCGACCACATGATCTAAAAAGTAAGTCTGCATGCGGCCTGCAAATACAATATGTAGCACGCAAGCAAGATGCGCATTCAGAAACACCAGCTTGTACACTTATCATCAGCATGCCACAAGGTCTCAGCATCCCTCAAACGCGTGCCCTGTCGGTGTGAAGACATCTCTGGCCAGTCAGCTACCATCAGTGTTTGCCCAACCGCACCTTTACCCTTGACATCGACTATCTCTTCTCTCCACTTGAACTGCTGGTCATGAGCGACGAATTTGTGAGTTGCTCCACTAATATGAATTCCATCGGCCACGCCTGGAAAATTCACATTGCAGGGAATATAATGGTGACTGATAAACAATGACACAGATGCTCTGGCCGAAAAGCAGGATCCACGGGAGAACAATGTTCTGCGCGATGGAACCCGCTGCTCTTCAAGATATGCTTCATTAATGTCACTTTATCGGATGCAGCTGTGAGGCCCATGCTCCTAGTCTGTCAACGGACTCGTGCTCTTCATCCTTGAAGCGGTGTTTACTGTATCTCCGAAAAGAGCGTATTGAGGCTTCCGAAAACCTACAACGCCGCTGCAGCAAAAACATAAAAGCATACATACGCAACGTTTTAAAGGCGGCACTGAATTAAAAAAAGAATAATTCAGGCTTTCGAATGGATGTGAGTGACAGATGGCAGCAACTAACTGCAGCCTCGCAGTTGGCTCGTACGCACCTGATGACGTTCCCACTGTGAATGCCAATCTTCACTCGTACACGACGAGTTTGTCGTTGGCAGCCTCCATCATTAACTGTTTGGAGAATGGCATTTTCCCTCGGGCTGCTTTGTTGGCTTTGTGGTTCCTCCGGATTCCTGACTGATGACGGCTCGGCTGAATCATACGTAATGTACAAGGTTACCTGGAGCATCGCCAAAGCTGTCCTGCAGCGCCAATGCAGACGGAGAAGGCGTCCATATTGAGAGATCTGCGAAAAAAAATGTGTTTGCGCCTGCCAGGAGTCAGTCAATAGCTCACTCAACAGCACTGAAGGCCCCTTGCTGGACTTTCAGAAGGTCTCGCTCGCTGAAGGAATCTCTCTCCTCGTCCATTTGTCCACCTGCATCATCTGCCAGAACTGGATCATTCAGGCCTGAAGATAAATACCCACATGCCGCATTAACAAACAACTCCGACGTCGGTGAAGTTGGCGAATAGGGTAAGCTCAGCAACTCAGAGAGGTGGCTCATCACTTGCCGCTAGGTCACCCTGTCAACCACTACGCCAAACGAGCTGAAGCTGTATCGGCACAGACGAGGTATTTTCGCGAAAACTTCGCGTTAGCCTTCTGTTCCGTTGCAGCCTTGCCTGCTGCAGCAAGATACGTTTCAAAAACAGTTTCAATCTTCACGAGTTGGAACTGTTCGCTTAGTTTGTCGAAACACAGGAAGAGGGCATCCAGGAGCTTCACTAGGTCCTGAATGGCCAGGGCACAGTACGCACCGATGGTGGCCTTTGCATATCACCCTGGGGTTTGCACACCACTAAAAGTTGTCACGGCCCGCGACAAAGCAAGTGCGAGACAAATCCTGCAGCCCGCTTGCAGGCGGCTTCATCACATCACAACTCAATATCACAACACCAACGCTGCACCATATATGGCCAAAGGACAGACACGCTAACCACCAACCTGCGGCAAGGAAAAGGCACAGACGAGACTGTGGAAATCGGCGACGTCACAGAAGAGAACAGACAAAAAAAGTGGTGGCGAACACAAATAATAAGGTATAGCATTTGGCATGTTCATCGGCCTGAAACGCACACACACCCACGACCCGGATGCAGCCTATGAATAGTCAAGAACACGGTGGTCTCTCTGCAATCTTTGAACACCGGCGTAGTTCTGCTTAAGAGAAGCCGGGATAGAGAAACTTGCCTGGAATCCCTGTGTGCTGCAGAGAGCATTTTAGCTACAACAAAGGAAGGCAGCATGGTATTAAGAATCTCCCTACTCCGCATGCGCGCTGCTTGTACCTGCACGCCACATAATCGACAGCGCAAACAGATTGCTTCTGTCGCTCGGGACCGTACACTTTACAAAGCCTGGAAAATCATGGCTTGTGATGGCCATCAACGAAGGCTTTTGATGTTTTCTAGAAGTCTTTAGGTCTTGTGCACAGCTGCTTGCCTGCGTATCAAGAAGAAAACGTTTCCGCTGATTGTATTCCTGTCGGTAGCAGCCGAATGCCATGAGTGCCACGAGACCCAGAATCCAAGGAACGTACGATAAGAGCTGCCATATGCACAAACATCTTGGCTCCCGCTGACTCAAAACTTCCTCCGGAGTTGATCCAATCTCATGAGCCACCGCTACTGCAAGCAATTCCTGCCGCGTCTTGAGGGGAGCCATCAGCTTGTGCAGCACCGAATCCGAGGGCACGCAGCGTTCAAGCCGATCCAAAGAAAAGCCTTCTTTGCACGGAACAGCGGAGAAGGGGTAAAACAGACGAGGTGGAGAAATCATGCAGGCAAAACGACAGAAGTAGGACTGATTATAGAACCCCAAGACGTAGCGCAGTATGTTCGAAAAGACATAGAGCAAATTCAGGCTCGTTGCAAGCTTAAATGGTAGCCGTAACATGACCGCGACCACGAGGATTACAGATAGACTGGTATCCATACCATCTGAAGACTGCAATTCAGGAAAAAGCGCACACAAAGCATATCTGGCCCACCACATTAGAGTCAAGGGTGCATCTATTTGTGTGCAGAAGAAAACAATATGACGACGGCATCCTAAATCTCGATATTAGTACACAAAATGAACATGCTACTTCGCAAATACTGTATGGGCCTGTTTCATGCAGCAAATGCCATAATTGGAAACTCTAGCTCACCAGTCTGTAATCAACTATATTTTGCAAGACTATGTACGCGACAGCCGAAAATCCGACGAGGCCTTCAAACCTACTGGCAAATGAACGCCGAAATGACCAAATAAGAACCACGGCAAGAGGTATAAACGGCACAAAGGATAATACTAAATCCCAGCGATCACGCGAAGTATTGATGCCTCGTTGAACAGTAAGTGTAACTAAGTTAAAAACAATCCACAAGCCGAGCAAAACGCCCAGTGTGCTGCGGAAGGCGAGCATCGACCGACGCAGCTCCCTTTCACGCGCGGACTGGTAATCCGCCTCTAAATAAGGGTCTCGGAATGTCAAAGAAAATCCTTTCAGTGCTTCGTTTGCACGCTGCTCTGTAGTGGCTTCGTCGCAGACGACGGGAGGCGGAGATGGTGAAGTCGCTTCAAATTCACTCTCTGACTCGAACAAGCTTTCACTTGTCCAGTCCCCTTCAACGACCACGTTGCATTCAGAGAACAAGCTTGTCGTGTCAGTCATGGCCCTCCGAAGACGGCGCTCATCCCTGCTCTCTGCCGTTTTTCCAAAACCCACGAGGAAGTCCCCACCTGATGTTGCTAGCTGCCGCCGCACTTCCCAGGAAAGAGCAGCAAGTACTGGGCTCTCCGATGCTGCAAAACCGCACAAAATGTGGGAAACCGTGAAAGTACATTGTTGTAACCCAAATTTGTGTATCTGCAATGAGCTCAGTGTTACCATCAGAATGTAAAGCCCGAAGCGAATGCCGCAGTCTTACCAACTGGCAAAGACTTCGACGAACGGACGATAGCCTTGCCGGCCGGGAGCAGTGAGAGGGAGTGAAGAACAGCCTCGCCGTTTTGCAGCGAAAAGCGAAACGGGGCAGGAAGTCGCGCCGCTATCTTTTGAAGAAGCAGCAGATGCTGTTGTATGTGGTATGAGCAACGTGCGGTGCAGCTTACGAAGCATTCCAGGAAATGCAAAGAGTTGGTATTCCGCTGAAGCGGCTCCAGAGACTGTTCCTCTATCTGATTGCTCTGGGTATTCTGAACCCCGATGCTGCTCTCAAGCTGCCTGAGCAGTGATACATCAATGGCGTCAAAAGCCGAGCAGATGCTGCACAACTGCTGCAAAGCAGACCTGTCTTGCATGCAGTAGCCAAAGCAGGCAGCGGAGCGTTGTTTTGGCTGGTTTTGAGCTTGGGGCTGCGGACTGCGCGTATCTGCTGCCCTTCTCATGGCGGCGACTGCCAGCGCAGCCGCGGACGCATCTTCAGCTGCCATCAAGACCTTCTCAGCGCCAAGTAACGCATTAATTTGTCGAAAAAGGCCCGCCACTAGCACTGTTAGAGTAGTGCAAGGAATAAGCACAAGCCACCAAGCCGGGAAAGAGTACGGCAAGACGCGCAGGTGCTTCATGGCGCTGGTTTCATCATAGAACATCAGGAGCTGTAGAATCGTAATAAGCCATGGGAGGCTAAGAAGCACAAGGACCTTAAAGAAGAAGCGTAGAAGCTTCAAATGGGCTCTAAGCTGTTCACACCAACGCTTAAACATATTTGGGGACTCCTTCAAATTCGAGTTTAAGAAGCGTGATGAGCAATCATGCTGCTCCTCCGTGTTCAGTCCGAAATATCCCACTGGCGCATGCACCTCCTTAATGCGCAGGTCTTCGGCTGAGCTATACGGGCTTGCTGCAGTATCCTGTACCACCGGTACCAAGTAGGTGTCACGCAGCCGAGGTCCACTAGCGGGACCGGAACTGGCGCTTGGGCGAAACACACAGCCAGAAACATCGGTTGTATGGTGGCAGTTCTCCACATTTTGACGTGAATGCGCATTGTCCCTACGTATGGCTGCTTCAGTGGATTGGAGCAGTAGTGGTTGCGCGGCCTCGGCCCTGTACCGGCTCCTAAATTGTCCGTCCGCCTGACAGGTATTAAAGCCACGGCGATCCACACTCTCCCTAACGCCTTTCCAAGCCGCCCTTAAAGTGCGCCCGCGTGCAGCAGGCCCGCCTATGCTAAGGGCGATCAGCCAAGGCCGTACAACAGTGCCGAAGCAAAAAGCGGCGAAAAAGAAGTCAGTGAGATGTAGCAATACGCCCATCCGCAGTCCTTCAGAGAGAGCCCGGAACAGCAGAATAAAAACAGTCACAGCCGTTGTAACTCCTTCAAGCACTGTCCAAAGCAACTGCGAGACGCAAAGTATTTTGCGACGCCGAAGCCACAGATACGATAATGGCCTCGTTCGCTGCAAAATCGGAAACACATGCACATCTAGCAAGACGGAGTCAACGCTCAAGCATTTCGTTCCCTGACAAAAGAACAAGGAAGCAGAGGCTAAAAAGCAAAAGCAGAGGCTTTTGCAAACTATGTGGTGGCTCTTGAGCTGTCGCACTGTACCATGAAAAATCTCAAAGCAATTAAAGTGATGAGAATAATAGAGTAAATAACCCCGTCATGCTAGCCTGCGTTGTACCTACTTCGTCATCAAGTGCAGCAGCCATTGGGCGACTAGTCAGGCAGGCTGCAGCGATGGCGATTAGCGAGAACCAGATGCAGTTCACCAAGCCTGTTGGGTCCCCAGAGTCAAGTAGGTTTGTGGCTAGCATTGCAAAAAGAAAGGCCAAAAGCACGCTGGTGGAGTAAATGACCTGATCTATGAGTAGTACGCTCTGCGCTCGCTCAAAAAGAGCATCCCTAAATATCAGGGAGCAAAGCGAGTGAAACGATTCTAGAACCACGTCGGCACTGCTTCCACAAAGGCACGCAGCCTGCATGTAGGGCACGAAAGTGCAGTTGTTTGTGATGGAATTTCTACCAACACGACCAGGGCCTTGGTTGGTAGACTGTGTCGCCTGTTGGTGCTGTTGTACTACCAATTCTTGTTGAAATACAGACGACGCTTGTTTCAGAAGCCCATTAAGCCCAGAGTCCATTGAATTTATCCGGCCTTTCGGAGCTTGACAGTTTTCAGGGGCTGGTGGTAGAGGAAGAGACTTCCTCCTTTTTGCGCCAGGCTCCTGTTCAGGCAGAAGCGGTAAAAAGGCGTGAGACGTCTTTCTGGAATTGGGTAGAAAGGTTCTGCGAAGGTGCCGAGCAACCGGAGGCTTCGCCGCATTCTCGCTGGATGTTACGGGATCCGCCATGGGTTCCGCAGGCCCCTCTGCAACATAAGTCGCCTCTTCAGCTGGCGTCAAGGCCTGCAGCATCAAAATGCCTATGGTGGCTTCTCGCATCATTGCTGCATCCTCCGCGCTACTTCCAGCCGCTATTACAATCGGCTGGGGTTTTAACGAAGCCTTGATGCAAGCAACCAACTGTTGCTTTAGCTGGCCACGAACCTCCGCACAAACATTGGTATCTGCGCGGCAAATGGCGTAAACAAGCAGCCCCTGCAAAAACGCAACACAACCGGTGGGGAAAAATTTGAAACGACTATCCACCAGGTTAGCAAGCCAACCAGCAGACGTAACCCAAACTTTTAATGCAGCTTTCATGGAAGACTTTGCAGCTTAATGTGGATGCCGACCTGCAACAGCTTATGAGAGAAAAAGAAAGCGAGAGATGCCGCATCGGATAAGAGGCAAATGCCCTGGCCGTGAACCCTTGATTGGCGCCACATGTCTTCAAAAACTTGGACGAAACATCTCCCAATGCGAAGTTTTCGTCGAAGCGGTAGTGATGAGAGGCTCACATTCTGCCCTTCTTTGGTTTCTATCCTATGCCGCAGTACCCTACGCCTTGGTCTCAGATCCTTGTTGAGAATCTCCCTTTGATACAAAGTTGCGTCTCTGTCTCTTCCGAAATAACCCCTTGTTCTACTGCAACTGCGGTCCGCCAAAAACTCCCCAATTCGTCGTCCTTCTCCGCCGAAAGAACGTCGACGAATCGATGTCTTGAGAACACGCCGCCTTGAGACAGTCGTCCCGCATTCACACGCCCAGAGTGAAGCAGATGGACTTTGAAGGCGGCGACGATCTTTGCGCGCATAGTAGGTCAATTCAGCTGAGCAGCGCTGCAGAAGATAATTTGCGTCCGCTACAGCCCACTGAGAGAGAGATGCTGGAGTGTTCGTCACCAGTCCATGGAGAGTTCCAGGGCAGAACGCTCTAGGCGAATTTTGGTGCATTTCATCCGCAGGGTGGTCTGAGCTTGCAAGGTGCATATCTTCGTAACACTGTCGACAACATGAGTTTCCGTTCACTCGGGTAGGCTCGTTGCTGTCACCATGAGACGTGTAGTCACCGTCGTCCGCGGCCAGGGATCCAGCAGCGCCAGATGGGAGACCGCTGAGGTGGTGATATGCTGGTCCTATGTTTCGAACCTGCCCAATGCCTTCCGTCCCAGCTGTGACCGTGTTGTTCCATTCAAATGATGTCAAAAGCCCACAATGCCTCGCGGCAGCTAGAGCAACATGCTTATCAGCTCCAGCAAGCAGCACTTGTCGAATTCCCACCCCTCTTAGCGCAGCGAGAGTCTCACACACCCGAGGCTGGAGCTTCTCAGCAACAGCAACGCACCCTACTATCTGCACACACTCAGCAAATAAAAAAGACAACATTTGTGGCTTGTGCTGCAGAGGCCACCTCCCATACGGTCTTAATTAGTTTTCCTTGATAGACGACCCTAACCCTTGCTACAGTACCTGCAGATTCGTCTCGAAACCAGTGATGACCCGTTCATGCCTTTCTTCTTGACGGTACATGGAATTCGAAGCTTCTTCGCTCAGTTGCACATACAAAGCTAGCTCTTCAGCGGAGAGGACCCGAACCGCGTAAACAAACGGCAGCGAGCCCTCTAGCGAAAAGCGTTGTGCCGCCAGCAATATCTGACGTACGCGAGAGGCATCTTCGCAGGTTTGTCCCCTCATGCCATTTTGTTCTGCGTCACTTTCTTCCTTCTTTGAGCAGATTTGAGGTGCTTCGTCCGCTCCGCTGTCGCTACTGCTGGTGTTACTGTTGCTCTCGGAGAAGCGAGTTTTGTCCCGGGGCGTATCAAGAACGACTTTCCCGTGTTCAATTGCGTTGAGAGCTTCTATGCCCCCTTGCGATATATTCGCAAGGTCTTCTGGTGGGCCCCTCACAACAAGAAGTGCACCCGAGCGGTGTCCCATCGGCTTTACGACGCATGCAAGGCGCGGCCTCCGCTGCGAGGGAGCATGAGTGCCCACAACTTCCAGCAAGCAGACTGGATTACAGTACGCTGCACAAAGCTTCTCACCAAAAACAGCCTCAACAAGCGTTTGGAGTGGAGTAGCTTTGCAGCAGCAACCGCTTTCAGCTAACCCTTCTGTCTTTAGCGCTGGTGTTTGAGATAATATCCCAGATGATTTTGTTGTCGATGTGAGTGTTGTTCCCTGCAACTGACAAGGGCAAGACGGCATGCTGACTGTTGAACGTTCGACATGCAGCTGCGTGCCCCGGCGGAATATCGGTTTGTATCCCAAGATACCGCAGAGTTTCAATATTGTTGCATCTTCAGGAAGCGTTGACTGAATCACATAGCATGCTCAAAAGATGCCATTTCCCCCGTTACAAGCCACCTCTGCAGGAGTATTTTGTGGCCTCTTGTATTCCCCAGAGGTAAAGCTCCTCATGCAGCACTTCTCTAGAGGAAAGAGGAAACTAAGAAGGTGTACCTGGAAGTCGATGTCTGCCTGTACTTTAGTTGCTTCCGGAGTAACAGGCACGTCGTTCGCTTCTTCCTTTTTTCCTTAAACAGAATGCAAAAGCAAAAAGCCGCAAATACACATCGAAAGACAAGCAACTGCTTCTCCTATCTCTGCAAAAGGTGTCAATCAGTAACGCATCAGGTCCACAACGCCACGGAGCTGCTATTCATTGGAAATAGACGCCTGCAGCGTACCTTCAGTAGCCCGCCTCGAGCGACATGGTGTTGCACAGTGGCAGATAGATGCAACCTGAACGGCGAAAAGGAAAGGCAACATACGCATGACCCTAAGACAGGTCTTATGGCCACCTTGGACCTATTTGTAATACTGCCACGCATACCGCATGAATTGGCAGGTGCAGCACTACTGTTGCGCGCTGTGAAAAAAAAAATACTTTGGTGGAACCCGATTGAAAAAAAAGCTACTTCAGTACCGGATCCAGCAGCATATATTCGAAGAATGCACCCTGAAACTTCTCACTGATTTTGCTCGGCACAAGACTATACTGAGCATGTCGAAGCGTAGCCTAACGATTCGCTCGCAACAACTCAGCTAGCTCACCTGTGCGAGGGTTTCCAGTCTGTTTCTTTCGTCCCTGTGCTTGGTGTAGTAGTGCTCGATCATGGTAAGGTCCTCCACCCGAATATCGCATTGCTTACATCGTTTAAAGCGCGCACGCGTTGAATTAGTACAGCTTGACTTGTCCTTGGAAACAATACTTTCTCGAGTCTTCACTGGACTCTCACTGGCATTTTGTGTCCTCTGGCACGGTGACTCCGTTGATAGCTCTCCGGTGAGTTGAGCGCCTCTTGGTTTGCCGCATCTGCTCTCTTCCAATATTGAGTTGCTTCCAAGTTTTGCATACATTCCATACTGTTTGACAAAACTTCTTCCGCCAGCGCAAATCCCTTCGAGCTGCAGTGTGGAGCCAATCACAGTCGCTCCCTTATCGAACAAAAGAAAATTTGCCCTGGATAAATCATCTAGAGCGGAAGGCGATATGAGCTGTCCATACAACTCAGGTGCGCAATATTCTGTGCCACCCAAAGGAGGCCCCTGCTTCTGATGGGACTTCTTTTCCTCCTCTAGCTGCCAAGTATGCAACTGGTGTTGTTGTGTGTTCGCGTTGTGCTCCGTGTGTTGACCTGGAAGGTCCGGCAGCGCACGCGAAGGCTGCACAAGATTTTCTTTCCTCCGCAGTTTCAAGATGTCGAGAGCGAGCGTCAGCGCCACGGGGCCGCAAGACAGCAGGAGCAAACATTGAGAAAGTTGCGCTTTATATTGCGGCACATCAAAAGTCCAGTCCTGGTTTGTGCCAGTGAGGCCTTCAATAATCAACAAAGCCTGAAATAAAGTCTCGACAGCCACAGCAACAAACATTAGGCTGTACCCAAGCCATCCGTTCAATGAGTAAGAGCACACGAGCAAAAGCTTTAGCGGTCCATTCAACCAACTATGTTCTACCCTGCAGAGCACTCGAAGAACACTTATCGCTCAGTTTGGGAAAACTACAGGTCTGTTTACAAAAGAATCAAACTTCTGAGGAAAACGAAAAATCGAAGATAAAGAACAGAACTCGCCACTTTGGAGCCTTGTCTAATATGATCCTTCACTTCTAGAGCGTAGACCCCAAAATTTTGCAGTGAAGGGGAAGCAGTTTGGTGCAACAGCCTACCACACCAAGAAGAAATGTTACCACTGCGAAGAAACCGACGATGATATTACATGCAGAATCGAGTTCAGTGCTTCTCGTCTTGCGTTTTCTCCGGGGCTGGAGAAACGCAACGTCTTCTGAGGCGTGTAGCACCAGGCCATCAATCCACTGTGTCCAACGAAGGATACTTCCTGTATTGAGGAAACAAAAAAAGATGGCGACGGCAGCAGCGAGTTAAAGCTCTATCGACCTGTGGTCGTATAAGGCAAACCTCATCAGATACGCCATATAGCCCGCAGTAGTGTGCTCCCCTACGTTGGTATTAGTACTCTGCTCGGTATTCCTATTTGCTGCAGCTGCAAGGGCAGCAATGCCAGCAGTGAAACCAGCCACAGCAAAAGATAAAAGAAGAAGGATAAGCATACTGCGTACCTCTTGGAGCAACATTGTTGGCTACAACGCGAGTTCCCCTAGGCCTCGCGTCGAAGCGTATGGTTCCTTTAAAATGAGGGGAATCAGGACTCATGTTTTCACAAACCACACGGCCTCTCAATCCTGCAAGAGCCGTCAGCGTATAGTCCGCCTTCGTCTCTCTTACGCAATAGCGTCTGAGCAAAATGACGCCGCAGCTACAGATGAGCTTCAGCAATGTAATCCTCATAGAAAGTGTTTCAGAGGGCTTCGGAGTAGCTGGGCACGTAGGGAGAAAGTTACACTTGTAAGGGAAATAGAGTCATTAGCAGCCAGCGGCTCCGTGAAGCTTGCCTGGTGAATCTCGCCGCACCGTCGACCATTCGTAGGTCAAGGATGGCGGATTCGGAATGGCCGCACGTGAGAATCAGCAGATCTGCTGGTACGCACTCCCCGGCATAGACGCGCACGATGTTGCCCACGCGGAGGTCTCCCCAAGCTGCCTATACGCCAGGTAAACTCAAAGCAACACGCTGAAGCCTCTTGCAGAGTGGCAGAGTGGCAGCCAACTGCAGCAACGGGGGCCACGAGCATGCTCGAGAAACAGGTGAGAGTACAAAGGGGCAGAAAAGCGGCAGAGACTGAATTAAAAGTTTCCAGTAAATATGAGCGCTAGGCAGCCTCAGAATAGGCATCAATTACGAATTAAATGGCCAAAGTGAGCCTGAAAAAGAGACCGGCACGAGGGCAGAGGCAGATACACAGAAGCCCGCAGACGGAAAGAGACCGAGAAAGAAAACAATAAGAAAAGCAAAGGCAGAAAGTGAGGGAGACAGAAACAACAAAAGACTCTCCATCAAGGGCATTGCTCATGAAGTTCATGACAGTTGCTGAGGTGTCAAAGAGAGCCCTACTTCCTTAAGGATCGGCTCGCGGCCATCGAGCACGTGACAGCAGAAGGCGCTAGACACTGTGCTGCAGAAATACAAATGCAACATACAGACGAAAGCGAGCAGCAACACACGTGCAAGTCAACTGCACGCTCAAGCGAGCATTCACAGCCAAGGGAAAGGCAGCGCAGTAACCTGCCGTAAACAATACAGCAGCAAACTGTGCTGAAGGCGTGCGATGCTGCAGAACATGCTTTTGCAATGCACACCAGTGCACTGCGAAGGCGTATGCACGTGCACCAGCACGTGCATACGCTGGCGCTACAGGGTGTGAACGTGCCGGTGCGCGAGGAAAGTGTTGCTAGGAGCCGCTGCTCTCGGTTAAGGAAGGCGGCCAAGGGCCACAAAGAACAGACGCAGTATAGCTTGGAGCATTTGTAGGTGCACAAAAGTGATGAGAAGATGTGAGATCATCGCGTGGCGCACACACGAGGAAAAAATGCACTGACGGTGCGTAAGCACTAGGGTATAGGCGGAATGCAATTAATGAAGCGGCCATTAAACGAAAAGATTCATGGGCGAGTCCTCCAACAAAGATGCCACTACGGTCAGCACGAGCAAGCACAAACCGTACAAACTCGACTAAGAATCGTACGTGCGGCCTCTGATGATGATGATTCTCTGAATACTGCCTTCAAGTATAGGATACCACTGCTAGCCCGAAATTTGCAGTGCTTAGCCCGAGAACGCCTACAGCAAAGTACAGCACCCCCAAAGGGCTACACTTGCGCACTGTCTTACGCTGCAATGGCTTCCCGGCGGCTTGAGGATTGTATGTTGAGTCCCGCAAATGCAACAATTGAGAGCAGCAGCAGCAAGGGGGCCCCCATGAGTCGCAGAACTTGATGAGGAATAGAACCCAGGCCCGGATCTTCAGAACCATACACCACTACAGATAGGCTGCACATCGCCACGAGCCATATATTCGTCGGGCGCGATAACAGGCGCCAGCAAGAGCAGAAAAAGTGAGAAAGACTCTGCAGAAGCAGTAACCGCAGCAATAGTAGCCAAACTGGCCTCAGTGGCACAGCCACTAGCGGCAGATGCAGCATTAGCCGCAGTACCGACACCAGCAGCAGACACGAAACGAGCAAAAGGGGCGAACACGAAAGGAGTAACGGGGGCAGCATTACATGCGATTGGCACTGGCAGCAAGAGCTGTGGCTTCCTCATGTCACCGCTATGCTTTCGTGTTTGCTAATCTAAAAGTTCTGTATGCTGGTGCCTGCAGCGCTCACGAACTGCATGCGTCCTCGCGCAGCTGGCGTAGGTGGGCACGTTTCTTCCTCGTTGACAGGGTTGATGACTACCTGCCTCGCGGCCCAATAGGGCATCAGAAGCCGAGTTCCTCTAGAGAGTCTCTCTTTTTTTGCATTTAGCAGTGTGCGCTGAGTTCCAAGCAGGGGCGCGCTAGGAAGTGCAGAGGAACCCCACAGGCCGCCTCCCGACGAGAACAGACGAGACGTCTTGCTACCACTGCTTCTGCGACTCCCACTGCTGCTGCTGTGACTGCTACTCATTTCGCGGGCGACTCCCGAAGCTGCCCCTTCAGCCTCTACAGAAGCGGGAACGGGGTCCCCACTGGGGCCCGTGGTGGTCTGCCTCTCTGAATGCATCTTCTCTGCCACAGGGGAGGCTGCCTTATCGCTTGTACAAGGGTGCGCGTAGAGGCTGAGACAGTTAATGAGGTCATTTCTTAGTGCAGTGGCGAGAGCAGTGAGTGGGACAGCTAGCCAGCTAGCCAGCTAGCCACGTCGCCAGGTAGCTGCCTCGGGTCCCAGGAATCCTTCGGAGCTAATGGCTACAGAGGCGCAGCTTGTGGATTGCGCCAGTCGTCTTCGACAGAAAAGCCTCTAAAGAGTCACCTCCACGAGTGGAAGCTACAGAACGTCCAGCCATCCCTGACGGTGACCCTGTCGGGGAGGTAGCTCCATGCTCCACGGTGTTCAAGGTAAGCAGCTACGGGGGAGCCTTGAGGCCTTTTGGCTGGCCGGAGTATGCTAAACTCCCCACGTTTTTGATTATTTTGCTGTTAAGGAATAAACAGAAGCGGCTAGGGTGTGTCTCTTGAGTGCGAGAGGCGAAGGGGAAACAGCAGCCGCTGCTGCGAATGGGAATGTGCGCCGCTCGCAGGGGCCACCGCCAGTGACGCTGGCGTTAGGATGAAGCAGAAAGACTATATAAAACGTCAACTGGAGGGCAGCCAAAAGAGGCCTCGGCATGCGCGCGGGGTTCCTGAACCTGTTGTCTGCCGTGGGACGCAGACAGGCGGGAGAGGCAGCAGGTGAGGTGAGACGGTAGCTTTGGGCTGACAGGAAAATTACGAACAAGTAGATTCATGTAGAAAGAGGGAAAGAGCAGAGAAGGCGGCGGACGCCCCGTTGACTTGAGCAGACAGAGATCTAGAGGCAGCAGAGGCGGCCACCTGAGCGCGTGGAGATGTAGGAAGACACTAACTTCATGCTCAATGGCATGTGTATAGAATTTGAGATATCATGCGAAAGTAACACAATGAGGGCCGCATGCCAATACCCCGTGCAGTCATGCAGCGCACACACTAGGGCGTGCAGCTCTGCTGCGCTGACCCACGGGGGTGGCGGTTGCTCGGTTCTTCCAAACGCTGGCAACCCAACCCGTGGTCTTGCCAATACCTCTTCATTCCCAGGTATTCAGCATTACTTAGGCGTATTTATAAATTGAAATCGACTAACCTCATTAGTAGAGCCAGCTCTCACGGCTAGTTTGGCTCCGGTGCGCCCCAGTGTGTGGGGCGTCTGTTCTGGTAGGCGCTCAACCTAAAGGAGAACGGATCGTTTCGCAGCGTCCTCAGTTACTCCTTGTTTTTAAGCTGTCAAATCTTAGATATTTAAAATTAATTTACATCAAGTAGTTCAAAGACCCACGGAGCCTGCCCAAAAGAGCGGGGGCAGTAGCGGCGCTGCGCTGGTCTCTATTGCTGGTCCTCCATCGGGAGCGCTCGGTCTGGGGGGTCTACACAAACAGGCAAACTCGTCATACATCCCCTGATGGCCCTTCGAAATTGACGATGATTTTGAAAAATTAAATATATTTCTACGATTAAGCCTCAACAACGCTGAGGGAAAACCCTGCCCGAACAGCTCATGTGGCTAACCCGCCTGGGCACGTATGTACCTATGCACTCTAGCCAAAGCCCGCCGCCTTTTACATTGGTTGATCCATTTATCGACTAAAACTCCGCTAAAAATTAAATTGATTATTGATCCATCCCCAATGGGCTACCCAGGACAGTCTCAACTGCATTAGGAAGGACACTATTGGCCAAACAGCGAACAGTGTGCACTGCACCTGGGGGCCATAGATGACTGCATGGACAGGCCTCCTGGGCATCTTTTTCTGGTTTCTGGCTCGAATACAATGTATGCCTGTTCTAGCTTACTGTTTTATGCTTGTGTCGTGCCAACTAAATTATTCAGAGCAGCAAGGCGGCTGTGAGCCATCGCTCGGTTTCATGGCTCGTTGCTCCAGGAACAACAGTGTTGTATTCCTCTATATCCTCGGCTTGAAGTGTGCATTTATTCGTGTGTTAATACCTTTTTTGTCTGTGGTTCGGAGTTTTAAGTGACAGGCCAGCAGAGCTCCAGACACCGCTAAATGCAGCGGGGGTAGCGCTCAGGGAAGTCTGGCCGCCCCAAATGATGCAGAATGGGGGGAAGGATTGCGAAAAATACCGCGCACTTGTGCGTCACTTGCATTAGTACACCCCATCAAATGTACCACATGTGTACTGAGATCATGATGCAGGGGTCGTGACCGCGGTCGCTAACCTTGCTGAACTGGCAATACTTCTTATGTTCCGTACTAAGTGTTTTTTCATCCAAAGTTGCAAACAAAATGCCTGGTCAGCACCAACCCACGAACATTTCCCATTGAAGATTCCTTAAGGAATGCTCATTGAGCATTCCTAAAGGAATGCGGCATCACTACTACTTATACGTTCAAAATTTGTGTTCACTACAAGAAAACAACACACTTTGCCTCCAAAGTGTTGCGCTTCTCCTTGGTTTTCTCATATAGGCATATGCTTCATTCTCTGCCATGTTGCACTAAGTAGTTTCGGAGCCAAACTACCGTGCTGACCCACACCCAGAGCAGGCCTATAAGGCATCTGGGTCATGGTACGTTGCCGCAGAATGGCTTTCCCCCGTTACTCTAGTTTAGGGCAGCATAGAAGATTTCTTGAGGTGCTTTGGGGCCAGGCAGCTTGCCTGTTTCACATACAACGCTTGCTTTAGCATGAGGAGCCCATCACCCTAGTACCAGTACTAGGCATTATCCTTATTCCATGTAAATAACGCAAATTAACTCTTATGCTCAGGGGTTGTTCCAGACCTTGTTTCAAAGAAGGGAGAAGTGTACGCTGAGTGGCAGATCCCCCTGCCTAGGCCTTGACAATAAGCGTTGGACATCAGATACAAAAATGGAAGCTCACAAACTTGATCCTGTCCTTCGCGCGCCCTTGTGCTAGCTCGTTTGTTGCTCAACCTGCAATCAAGCGCGTCTGCTCTCTGCATCTCCGACAAAGCTAACAGACGAGAAATGCATCCGAAAATGACAGATGCACAGAAAAATACACAAAACTTAAAAAGGAAGCTAAGACGTAGAAGAAGGGGCTGCTGGTGTGACAAAGATATGGGTGTACGCTGGCCCGCTAATCCCACAGATAAGACGGTCAGGGGCAGGGCAACGGAAGACAACAGGAAAACAAATGGAGAACGACGGGAGAAAGGTACACAAAGTGACGGAGTAACGAGATACGACAATCGACAGTGAGGCCATATTAAAGGGGACATTCAAGTGCCTAACTACTTCCTTCTGTTATTTGTTCTTTAGCCCATCTAGCGCTTTCCAGGCCCTTGGCAGAGAAAATAGCAGAAACATATTGTGCGGGTGATATGGCAAGAGAATTCTGCATGAAGCAGCTTATTTTACATGCGATGCCACTGATCGTGCGCGTGAAGCAGTGCATTCGGTAGCAGCAGCCAACGAGCTATCGAACCAGCCTTTCGCTGCCTAGCTAGAAGGGCCGGGTGCACCACTACTGTAGCTTCTGCGTTCTCTGTAGGCTCCAACTACCCCCTGCTCCATGTAGGGCGGCGCTCTTCGTTCTGTCCTCATCTGAAGCTAGCTTAGTGCTGCTTGAGGCTCAGCAGCAATGGCAGCCAATTGCACTCAAGACTTAACTTTGGAGAAAGGAAACAAAAGTAGGAAAAAGCTAGACACAAAGACAAGGCAGCAGAAGCCACAAGCATTGTTTTGCTGCTTCCTTATGCTTCTCTGCCATTCTCCCTACGAGAACTTTTGGCAGCTACTGACACTGCTTTTTGTGGAACAACAGCGGCGCTAAGATATTTCGCCCTTGCTGTGGAAGAACTGGCAGTTTCTGTTGTCTCGGTTGCTGGTCGCTGTATCTTCCGTTTGTTTTTATGATGCTTAGTCGCGCCCTCTGCATTAGCCGCTTCTACTCCTGCGTCTGCCGTTTCAGACTCTGCTGCTGCTGCATCTCCCGTTATTATTGCTCCTGCTGCTTCTGCTTCTGTGGACTGAACAAGGGGGCCAGAACCACGCGCCAACAACGAGCCACGGATTGCGACGCGATCACCGCTTTGGGACTTGGGAACTCTGCAGCAGGCGAAGGCACAGGAGGCGCAGCAGACGCAGCCGCACCAATTACAGTAAGTACACGACAAGAATTTCAGCAACCGCTACACGCATCAGAAGTTTTAGCGATGCCGCTGCTGCTCTGTGGAGCACAGAACGCGGCAGCAGAGCTTGCAGCAGGCAAAGAGCATCTGGGTGGCAGCCACTGTACTGCAGAAACCACTACAGAAGCAGCGGCAGTATGCGCTGTTGCTGTGTCCGCTGCATGCAAACTGCACAGCTCACTCAATGACGTGCATGCGGACGAAGGCCTTCTCTGCGATTCGGCGCGTCTTATCCTTGCGGTGTACGTACACTTTGGCTTCCTGCACCACCGACAAGAGCATCAAAAGCAGCAATGAATAATTCTAGCATTACCGTCAGCATCGGGATCGGCGCCACGTAAATTCGTCTCTGCCTGATCTCGTTAACGTTACAGTCAAAGCCATCCCTCGCACCACGAGACGGCGAATACTTTCCTTACGTCTACGGCTTGAGCCACGCTGCAGCAGCACCCGCTGTTGCTGAATCTACGCCTGCAAACATCCATCATTTCACTACATCGCGCGTAAGGCTCACTTCTAGGTATCTAAATCTGTCTCCAAGGTGTTCTCTGCTGATGATGGCGGTGAAGTGGCCGAGCCATAGCAGCCGCAGCACCGCAGGCCGCACAGTTTGCGTTTCACATGCTGTGAGACGAAACACAGAGAAAAAGGAGAAGGCAGCCCAAACTGTTGCTGCTGCTGTGGCAGCTGTCTGCTGCTTGTGCAGCTGCTGCCCTTACGTCCGCTACCACTCTTCTTCGCCTTACTGGCATGAAATGCGGTCTGCCGTGCATCTGCTGCTAGCATGTTTGTAGAGCTGGCCCAGAACCACTCACTTATCAGATCCCCCACTTTTGGTCTAAAAACAAGAGCGGTCGTCTCCACAGAGACAA